TGGGGATTTGGTCCACTGGAGATAAATTGCCCTCAATGATATATATATTTAAAAAAAATATCAGCAGCAAGACTCTCTCGAAATAGATTCTGTTTGATGTAGCTAGTCTGTCTTTTCTGTTTTGCCCTCTTTCACAGCAGCCTCTGAAGTTTTCCGCAGGGGGGCTTTCTCCGAGTTGGCGTGTCCTTGGCCGGATTCCGCCGCTCCGCCGTTTTTGTGCGATGTGTGCTTTTCCAAGTAGTTCAGCATTTCACTGAGAACAGTTTGGAAAGTGCTTAGGGCAGCACATATTGCAGGAGTTCCAAAACCGTGAGTGATCAAACTACAAATGGGAAGGAGACAGAGGAAACAAAAAAAAAAAGAAATACACACACGCACATAAATATCAATGCGCTCATCGAGGAGTTTACAGTACACTCATTTTGCTACAGTGAAATTCAAGATTTGCTCCCTAAACTATTTATTACCTGTGGGAGAAACAGAAAAGAAAGGAGTAGAGCCAAAGAGCAGACTGCATACAGCTTCAAAGGTGGGTTTTGGTAGGAGCTTCAGTTCTGAAACACCGTGGGACAGACCCTCGGCTGCTGCAGACTGACACTGGGTTGTTGACTTCAGAGAAGCCAGGAGAGGATCTGTGCCCTTGGCTCTCCAGCATTGCTAATTTTCCGCTCCCAGAAAGTCTGGCTCCCCCTTTCTCACATAAATAAAAGGAGTTCTGTATGGTATATTCACACTTCTAGATCAAACTTGCTTGACTTGATGATCTTGGAGGTGTTTTCCAACCTTTATAATTCTATAGCTCTTGAACATGACCTGACCATACACGGAGGTGTGACTGAACCTGTACTAGGAAATTCAGCAATGCCAAGGATACAATCTCCATCCCTCAGCACAACTGGCATGATTTGGTCATATCTGTGCTCTTGGAGTATCCAACAGAGTGAAATCTGAACTACCTCTTGGGAATAGACCCTGGCCAGTGCTACTGCCCAAGCAATGACCAGAAAATGTTTCACACAGGGCTAGTTTAGCCAGGCTGAATTTATGGACCATCCTAACCAATTAAAAGCAAAAATAACCCAGTTCCAACAATGTTTTACTGGCAGTGTTGAATTTAGTGGGATAGATTTACCCTGTTGCACCTTTCATTGAAATAAGGGGTTTTTTTCAAGATAATACTGAGTTTTTATCGTTGTTGTTCCTGCACTGCAAAGTAGCTGAATTTAATTGGTGTTCTTCACTTAACAGTTACTGAAATGGAGTATTAATGCAGTTGCCAGGCAGAGCTATTGTAGGTTAATCTCATCTCAGTTTAGAGAAGGATTTCAGTGCACACACGTGTATCTGCAGTGACTTGAGATGTTTTGGGCGTTCAGCCTGGCTTCCACCTGCATATCCAGAGGTATTCAAGTTTCCCACATGTCCTGTCTCTTGGATACTGTCTCTGTGAGGATCACAGAATCACAGAATGGTTTAGGTTGGAAGGGATCTTAAAGATCATCTAATTCCAACCCCTGGGGTATGGAAATGCCTTCCACTATCCTGGGTTGCTCCAAAGCCCATCCAACCTGGCCTTGAACACTTACAGGGATGGGGCAGCTGCAGCTTTTCTGGGCAACCTGTGCCAGAGCCTCATCACCCTCATAAAGAAGAATTTCTTCCCAATATCCCATCTAACCCTGTCCTATGGCAGTGGAAACCATTCCCCTATGAACTGTCACTCCAGGCCCTCGTCCCATGTCCCTCTCCAGCTCTCATGGAGCGCTTTTAAGTACTGGAGGGGCTCTAGGGTCTCCCTGGAGCTTTCGCTTCTCCAGGCTAAACTACCTCAACTCTCTCAGTCTTTCCTCACAGCAGAGCTGCTCCATCTCTCTAACCATCTTGGTGGACTCCTCTGGACTTGTTCCAACAGGTTGAGGTCTTTCCTGTGCTGGGGACCCCAGAGCTGGATGCATCCCTGCAGGATGTCTCATCTACCTCAGGATATAAGAAACTGCACTAGAGACCAGTTTTTAGGCAATTGAATTCAATCTTATTTGCCTTAATATTATGTGTACAATATAAGATGATCATGTAAGGGCCACAGAAACTCAAGCTTTATTACACTTCTTGCTATGGGCAACCATGTTATTCCCATTGTTAAAATGACTCATTCTGATAAGTAGTAAGTGGAAAAAAAAAAAACAAACAAACCTTGCCCAAATCCTCCAGATTTTTAGTTTTCATTTAGAAACATAAATGTAAAATTATTTCAAAGGTTGAAATGCCATTGATGCTTTTAAAAGTGACTTCAGTTATTCTAATTCTCAGGGAAGAAAGAAAGTGAGAAGAATAGAAGCTGATTTTTAAGTTTGTGGACAGTTTTGAGAAATCAATAGCTTATATTGGTTTGTGTGAGGGAAAAAAAAAAAAACACACCACAGTGATTCTGACAAAAAACCCCAACTATTTCCCATCCCATGCTAATTAAGTCTTTTTTCCTATAGAAACTCTCTGGGTGTTTCAGGCACTACACCAGCAAACCCTGATTTAATGCAGGGTTTAATTTAATTTAATTCATGTGTGGGCCCGAAACAGGAACATTTCACTTCAGTGACAACCTGTCTCTGCTGCACTTTGGATTTTCAGTCTTTCCAGCATATTTAGAAAAAAGTGCAAAAGTGGGAACCAAGGGGAAAGAGGTTTTACAGGACATGGACAACTGCCAGAATGCTGGAAGTACGTTAGGGTGACCTTTCTGTCTGCTAGCTATGGGAAACCTGTTTGCTAGGAAAGCTGGTATCTTAGGGAAGACCCCAAAAACATGTGAATCCTAACCAAAATGAGAGCTCAGTTTGGAAATATTTCCCTATTTCAGACTGGGAGTGGCACTGTCTTTTATAAAAGGTCTCTAAAAGGCTATTAACAAATAACTTGCATTTAGAATGTTTACCCATCAGTCTCCAGGCACTTTTCAAAGCAGGAATTTATGCTTATCCCCAGTTATTAATGAGAGGAAAATGATAATTAAATATTTACAAGGAGTATTTTGCAGACATCAATTAATAATACCAAATGAAGTTTGGACTCGAAGCCTGGACTTGCAGCAATATCTGGATCTTTGTAATTTAGCATCAAAAAGAGGTAAATATACCTCAGTTTAATTTTATTTTCTTTTTAGAAATGCCTGGCACACCAGAAAAATCAAAATCATCATCAACATTATAAGTGATGTTTTTAATAGTAGTAAAAACTACACCAGAAGTAACATATATATGAGTATTTTAAGAGCTTTCAAATCACTTTAAGAGTCAGCTGATTTCAAGATTTTATGTTGGATTTTATCATCTTTTCTAGTCTTCTTAAGTCCAGAGAAATGAAAATGTGATGAAGTTTACAAGATTTTTACACTGCTTGTGTGATCTTCTGGGTCTTGATTTGGGGAACTGACTATATCGAGACATATAAAGAAATATTTATAATCTTGCATGCAAAAGAAATTAGTTTACTTATTTTAGAAGTAGGTAATATGTGAAGTAATTTGTTTCCAGTAGATGCAAATCATATAATCATAGAATCCTCTAGGTTGGAAAAGACCTCCAAGATCATCAAGTCCAACCATTAACCCAGAACTGCCAAGCCACCACTAAACCACGTCCCTCAGCAACACATCTACATATTTTTGAACACTTTCAGAGATGGTGATTTCCTCTTATCCTACCCCTTGTTACCTGGGAGAAAAGACTGACCCCCACCTGGCTACAACCTCCTTTCAGGGAGTTGTAGAGATCAATAAGGTCAAGTAAATAGTAAATTTACCAAAGGATTAAATGGAAAAGAAACTTCCTGGCCTGCCATCATAGAGTCTTTCAATTTGTGAACAAAAGTAATAATACTGTGTTCATTTGATAGCTCAATGCACCCTGAAGAGTAAAGTGGGAATACTACCTTGAAAACTTACTGAGATTGCTTTAGAAATTATCTGTAGGGGTAAGAACAATCTTTGATATCCTGAAATGCTGAACAAGACTGTGGAAAATACCAGAATGGGACAAAATCTTATATAAAGGTATGTAAATGTAGGTACCAACTCACAGGTATTTACATCAACGGTGCCTAAACTCCCATTACCAGCAAAAGGGACTTAAGTTTCTTACCTATAAGAGTCTACAATGATTTGAGATGCCCCATGACATCTGGAACATCTGCACAGGTTTGCTAGATAGGGTATAGGACTGAAATCCACCTGCTTTTAGGTGTTTTGACACCAGGCAGGTCACCCTTGTGCATCTCACATTGTTTAGGCAACTGGATTGAGCCCTGGGACTTCATCCAATACTGTCAGAGAAGTCTGGGGAATGATTTAACACATTAAATGGATGTGTCTCCTTTAGGATGAGCTGCACTGTCCTTCTGGCTACACTGAGGGCTCCATCAAGCTGAATAAAACAGCACCCTTTTAAACAACTAGATATAGTTCCTTTATCCTGAGTAGAATCTGAAATTTCTGGTTTGAAAACTACTTCTCATATGAAAAGGATTTAATGGGGTTTGTAAAGGGTCTATCTCCTTTACTGTTAAGCCTCTTAATTACCAGTAATCATTACATATGGCAGCTCTTACCAACATAACATTGTATTTCTTAATAAAAAGCCAACTCTTTTTTAGTGAAATGATGCTGTAGAGTCTCATGGCAACTCTACTTTCAGTTTCTGGTGTTTCTCCACAGATGGGGATATGCAGAGCCTATTAATTTTCCCACGAAGCTTATTAAGAGAAACCATTCTATAGAAAATTTCTAACCACCCCTTCTTGCCAAGCTCCTGTGAGGGTGTATTTTATTAGCCTCACTTTAGGTAATGAGCATAAAAAGGCCGAGAGATATTATCTTCTACTTTATCTTACATTTCTATCAGTAATTCCCCTTGCTCTAATTTTGGTGGACTTTATTTCTCTGCAAGTTAAAGTCTTTGAAAAATCTAAGAAAGTTGGATAATTTCCCTTTGCTGATGAAAGTAAGTTTCAAGTCGGGGAGAAAATCTGATTTTACATTTAAATCAGACATGACAGACGGAAGATTAATGGCAAAGCATTCAAATGTGTTTCCTGAAAGTCAAATTTAGCTGCCTAACTTTCCAGGCTAATTGAGCTCACACTGAAATTGGTTCATTTTTGGTGTGCTTCGCACCTATGAAAGGAGTTGCTTTCATTATAATAATTTCTTTTGGGTTTATAAGTCTAAAATTAAACATGGTGGCTTCATAGTAGAGCCTTCTGGGTATTCTCAGCTTTGTGGTGCATCTCATTACAGCTCCTATAAACCAACTTTGTTGTTCTAAAAGG